GGCGCGCGGCGGAGGCGGCGACGCGGGAGGCCAGGCAGGCGCAGCAGCTGGCGTTGGCCGAGGAGGTTGGGTAGTGGGGCGGCCAGTGGGAGGATGGGATTGGCGTGGTTTTGAGGGCATTTTCGCTAGGAAGCCTTGAATCCGGCCATCGCATGCATCGTTTCAAACGTCTGATGCCAATTCTTCCTCTAATTCACGAGTTGCTTTCACAAAATTCCTTATATACTGTTACTTTGCAAGATGTGCCAAACAACGTTTGGCCTTTGTATGTATATGTGCATGCGGGTTCATGGGTTCTATCAGGCTGTTTAGAATTAAACATTGAGCTAATTATGAGCTAATATCGAGTGTTAACAAATGAAACACTCAGTTGATCTCAGTTGTATTTAAAACATCCATTTCATTTGAAACATCTCTTGAGTGTTTAAAGACATCATCCGACCCCTTCGGTGGCCTCTCCACCCGCCGCAGGTGGCCGAGCTCGCTGAAGCCTGGGCGCTCTGGGCCCTCGAGCCGTCCGACGCCGACGCGTCGGATCTGCGGCTGCGCAGCGCCACTGCGGCGGAGCGGCTCCGGGGCACGGTGCTCCACGAAGAGCTGCGGCAGGTGGCGGAGATGCCAGGCAGGTGGGAAGTGCAGGGACAGAGGAGGTGAGGAGGTCTGGTAGATGGGGGGCAGATGGCCAAACTGAAGACAAAGGTTTGGTTGAGGTGAGGAGTGATGTGGAATGCAAAAGTGGCATGGTTGAGGATGGTTAGCGTGTGAAGCAAGAGTTCCCATCATGATCATGCACCGTGGGGGTGTGTTTCCTTCAATTGCATTCTGAATGCCTTAAACATACATAGTTTAGTAGGGTTGCTTGGGTTGTTTGGGGAAATGATCCGCCAACAAAGTGGATGCTTCAGGTTCCAGGATGATCAATCTTTTGCTGGGGTCGGGCGACACCTTCGAGGCGTGCAGGTCCCAAGTGTTTAGCCGTGCAGGTCCACACGCGCGTCGCACCTCTCTTTCGTCAAAGCGTTTCGCGTCCCGTTTCGCACCTCGGGCCAATTCAGAATGACCCAGCAAAGTTTCCTCAGTTGGTCAAGGATTCCCTTTGGAAAGCGGGTAGGTCATGTTGCATGGGTGATCTTCCCAAGTTCTCTCTCTGATGTGCCACCTCATTAGAACCAAGGGCATCCTCTTACCACATGTAAGCAGTATCAGTATAGTTGTTTGAAGTGCATGAAAAACACCAAGCCCATCGGCTTTCTCCATCGCATGGTGCTGGTGGTGTGTAAGCAGGCTCCTTTGCATCTTTCATCATCTTTCTTTGGTGCCAATTCCAAGAACATGCAACATACAAATTGCAAAACATGCCATAGGCAGGATGGGGAGCCTGGCATCATACCCTGAGCCTGCAACTTGTTCTAGAGCTATACCTCTACTTGGGTTCTCAGTGGGGCTGGACGGAAGTTCCAAAAGGAATCGCCTTACATTTGGAGATCGGGCCGACGTAGCCAACTATGAAGTGGTGCAAACTCGGACAGCATACCGATACAAAAACTCGTTATTTTGGTGACCCCAACGGGAATTCCATGGAATTCCTTGCTTCTTATATACTTTATAACTCTTTAGACTTCAATCCGGCGCTCACCTTTTAGCTTCTCTTCCTGATCATTCACCCCACCGTGTCAGGTGATGCGGCTTCCCACGAACACCTCACGTCGCACGCGGAGCGTGCCACACAGCGCCTGCGGCAAGTGGCAGACACCTTGCGGCACACAGCGCCCGTGGATGCACTGCCGGCGGCGACTGCTGTGCTAGATAGCATCTTGGATCATGCGAATTTGGATCTCATAATTCTCAAGCAAATGTTGGAATAGCAGTTACTATATTACTATATATATTAGATTATATAACATGTTGGGGGCTTATTGTAGGCTGTTGATGAATAGAACCCCACATGGAGATGTTTTGTCATCCAGGTAGGGGATTTTTGAATCAGTTTCACTGAAGATCAAGATGTTTATGTGTGTGGGTTCCACATGTTTCATGCGGGCTTGGACTGCAAGATTTTCATGAGTTCAACTTCAGAAATCCTTACAGAGGTGCATCAGATCAGGACACAAGTCTTCGTCCCTACTGACCTACTGTGACCTACAGTAATACTTCTTCATTGACCCACCATGAACCACCTCTTCTCATCTCTTCGCCTACCACCGCACGCGGAGCCGCCGAAACCGCACGGCGAAAACCGCACCGGCTTCAACGACGCCGTTCGGTCAGGTCACGACGTGGAGGCCTTGCGCGGGGCGCTGCTGCGCTTGGCCGAGGAGCGGGACGAGTTCCACCGCTCCCTCGAGGCGCGCGACCGGTGGGGAGGTGAGGGAGGGAGGTGGCGTGACGCGGAGGCGTTCAAACCGGGGTTTGCAACAGGTGCGAGGTTTGGACCCATATGGGGCTTTGGACCTAACCTCAACCAATTGGTCGCAAGCGCGAGGTGCGAGATGCTTGAATCGGATCGGTTTTAATCTTAATTAATATCTTGACTATTCTTAACTACCATCAGGATCTAGCAGGAACAAACCAAAGAACACCGTAGCAACGTCACCGTAAACAACCGCAAGCACCTCAATCCCAACCTCCCCTATTGCGCAATAGCTATTGAGACTGGACCGGCGCTATATAGACCAATAGCTCGGTGGATCTCGGAGGCTTACGCTGTGGGAGTAACTTTCAATTCATTTTGACGCACTCACATGATCAAAATTATACTACCAACAGTTTTAGACACCACCTGTTTGGTGAAAGATGTGAACGGATGTGAACGGGGTGCCGCGATTCGCCTTTCATGTATGTGTATAGTGCAAACTATATACATCCCCACGATGTCGCTCAGGTGAGCCACTTGGAGGCGGCCGAACGGGAAGCTTCGTTGCGGCATCAGATCTCAGGTCAGAGCGAAGAGGGGCAATCGAACGTTCCGTTCTTTTCCGTGGGGTTTTCTCACTATGACCGCCGTGACTCTGACCGTGGTGGAAAGAGTTGACTGAAGAGTATCGTTTTTTTTTTGGAGAACATCAACTACCCTGATCTTATAGTAATTGTTGTGTCAGTTGGGGATGTTTTTGAAAGAGATTGAGAACGGCGCGCCGTCGCACTGTATTTTTGGATAATTTATAGGTGGAACTTAGACGGTCATTTCCATACCTTCTTTAGCTGCGGCAGACTTCATCTTAAGTTTAACAGACCTGTGATGCTCCAAAAAAGATTTTCCAGACACTGCTCCAAAATGGACGTTCAACTCTTTGATGTCCAAAAAGTTCGTTCACTAACTCACATGTAGCTCCTGACTGTGTCTTCTCACATGTCCATGCGCCTCCACGTCTGGTGTTTCTGCCGGGGCGGGTGCAGGGCATCCGGACCCCGTGGTGGCCCATCTCCTGCGACAAGCCCTGGGGCCTGGCGAGTGGAGCGTGGTGGGGTGCGTGCGATGGGGGTACCCGTTTTGTGAAAGCAAGACGTGATGTCGAGATGTCTGTCTGTAGGTGTAGAATGGTGTAGGATGAGATAGGTGAACAGAGAGAACGCCTTGACACCATCCTTTTCCCAAGCTGGAGAACGCCATGTTTGTACAACGATGGGTTGGAACCGGTGCACCCGTGTCCACAAGGCCCATTACGGTCCGCTTAGGTGGAGCAGCTGCAAGGGTCACTGGCACGAGAGCGCTTAGTGTCCAGCTCCTTGAAGGTGCGCATTCGGATCATCATCCGTCGGGGATTGGAATTGCAGATGCGGATGGGGGGTGATAAAAAAGATCGGGTGGACGATTCAAGTTGAGTGAACAAGTGGCATCCGCAGGTGGATCTGCTTTGGGAAGGCTCTGTTTTTTTTTAATTTTGGTACCAACTATATACCCCCAGTCAGGGTGGTTCATGGACACCCCTTAACAGCTAAGGGGCTATAAATAGACACCCGTGACAGGAGGGTCCTGGTATATACTATTAATATTGTTAGAATGAGATCCCAGAAATGTCTAGAGATTGATCCTGCTTGTCTAACTGCTTGTTGATCCTGCATGCTTGACACGTTGATCCTGCATACTGCATAGCTTGATCATGCTTGACATACTGGTATTGTTGATCCCTGCTTGTCATGTCGACCCTTTGACGGCTATTTCTCCCCTATCGGATCGCAGATGACTCCGGCCGGCATTGCTGCGACCGAGTTCTACGGAGTTCTACGGAGTTCATCGTTGGATTAAACGAAGATGTGCCCAATCCATGAAAGGGCATAAATATCAATCTATCTATATCTATATATATATATATATCAATCCTATACCAGGACCCCCAGTCAGTCAGGGTGGTTCATGGAGTGTTCCGAATCACCGCTTGCTATTGGAGGCGATTGGACATGTGGAGTTCTAACCGTGGTGCTGGTAGGGTCCCGTCTTTCGAATAGGGAGACCCCTCAAGGGCACCAGTCTGGGAACATCAACAGACGACATCCGTCAGGTTGGGAGATCTCCCCCCCCTGTCGACACATGTGGTAGACCACGCACCCAGAAAGGGACTGTGGTGCCCAAGGGTGGGCCTATTTCGGTGGGGGGGCCCAGCTAAGCGATAAAAAGCCCATCCGGGATCCAGGGCTTACAACGAACCGAAGGTACGACTGGAGCCTCCTGCCACCTACATAAGAGTGTCGAACACATCACCGTACTTGAGAAGGTATGAATCCCTACGGAAGGTATAGTTTTCACTTGATGATCTTTCTGGAGAACCACGGAACATCACGTGAAAGCACCCAGTTTTGGTCCCCCGAACCCTCCAAAGCTACGCAGCACCCCCGTGGTGCACAGCGCTCACCCCCGTTGTGGCAGGCCGAGCTGGATGCCATTCGCTCCTTAAAAGGCACCGACTTGTTGATCTCCTAAAACACCGACCAGCGCGGCATGGACGGTGGGAGTACCACACCCGACCTGCGGATGGGTCAGCAGCCATGTCAACGCTGATGGAGGGCACCTCTGGCGACCCGAAGGACCGGTGGAGGAGCCCCGCCACGTCCCGCCGTGAGGAACGAGCCTGAAGCGCCGGTGAGAGCGAGAGCTGGAGAGCGAGAGCTGGAGAGCTGGGAGTCTGAAGTCGGAGATGGGCTCGGAAGGTGTGATCTTGGGACAGCTGAAGGAGGATCAAGGAGCTGAAGGATTTGTCCTGCGACAGCGATACGAAAAAAGGCAGATGGGAGATGATGGGAGTGTGAAGTGAAGGAGACGTCATGAGAAATCACTCAACCCCTTCATGACATTTCACGCTGCTCCGGGACACAGAATTCTTCTTTTTTCTGGACTCCCACACTGAATTCGTGGTCCTGGTCGTCGGTTGAACCGTGTTTTCCATGAATGAGAGACATGTTGTGGACCTGTGTGAACCGGAGGTTGCTCTGAGAATCGGATCTTTAGGGCCCTAAGGCCTGGCCTGGCCTGGCACGCCTTTCCAGGGTTCTCAAGGACGTTGGGAGAGCGCAAGGCAAGCGCCGATCTGGAGTTCCTAGATGGGAGAAAAATGGAGTCCCTGAGAGTCTTTCTGGGGGACGGGAACGTGATGATCCAGCAAACATCTGCTGGTTTTCATTGCTGGCAGACATATGGTCAACATTGGGCAACACTGAGACGGTTTCTTTTTCAGATGCTGCGCATGGGCATCCCATTTCCCTTGAAAGGGGATGTTGCTTCGTGCACCCAGGTGTTCCCTCAGGCCAGTACGTTTATTGCTTCAACGCAATTGAACACGTTGGATGGCAGCAGCTCCAGCACACGTGGCACAGATTGGCTCAAGAATCGCGCAAAACGTCAGCCCAGCACTGCGCTCTCAGAGAGTCAAGCAGATGCGCCAGCACTCCACACACAGCACCCCATCAGTCAGCCCCAACCACCAGCACCCATCAGTCAGCTCTCCACAGCCCATCGGAGCACTGTTTGCCCCAAACTAACGCTGGGCCCGGTGCGATGTGGAGGCCAAAACAGAGAGAGGAGTCAACGCTGGTGCTGGTATTCAAAGATTCATTTGGGATCATTTGGGTAGGGTGAGCACTGTTTTAGAGAAGGGCCTTTACTAACCATCATCCACTGTTACAGCTGAGGGAATGGGACATCCCAACATCTGGGCAACATGGAGTAAAACAAGTAATCTTCTTCAATGAACCGTTGTAGCAAATGGATCCCAAACTTGCCCTATCGGACAAGAACAGTGGAAGGGTGCCAGAGAGCACAGGTGTCATCAAAATAAAACAAGGGATCTGTCGGGATGGAATGTCTCAGGGCCCCCCCTCTCCTCGATGTGGAATCGCAGTGTCACATCTCCAGGCCTTAAGGAGTTCAGTGAGGCCCGTGCGCGGTTTGGGCACTGCTCGACCTGAAGCCATTCACAAGCCATTCACCATCGGGCCACCTCCGCCACGTAGGACATCACGGTGGGCCGTTACGCCATGGGTTCAATGGACTGGGTGAGGACTCCCAACCGCGGCGGAACCCGTCGCCCTACTCGCGTTCGGTTCTGCTCCCGTTCAATCCTTTAGCATCCTTTAGTGAACTTTTGGGAGGACTTCCCCACACAACCCACAAAACATAGACATAAACCTTGAGAAGTGTGGGTGTCAGGTGATTTTCAAGCTGTTGAATCGAATCCACAAAAACCCTCACTGGAATCAGATGAAAAGCATGGCAGACTGAGTGAGACATGAAGATCCAAGGAGTATTGCGACATCAAGATGCTGCACGTTCTTTGGTTTGAACAATGGAATCTCTTCTATTATTCCCGCAAGGAAAGACATGCAGGACAACCAAGGATTAGGGGTTAACCGATTTGAGCACCTACCCCTACCATCCCTTACCCTTCAACTAGCCAGTCACAATCGTCACTGCCACCGAGGGCCTTCCACACTTTCCAGTGACCAAGTGGAAAGCAGATCTGAAAGCGACCAAAAGTGACAGCGAACATCGAAAGATTCGAACCTGGGATTGGCTAAGGAATGTTCTGATAGCACACCACTGAGCATGGTGTTAAAGCACCTCGAAGCCTCTTTTCCCCAGGCCCCAGGCCTTCTGGTTGAGAGGGAAAGAGAGCGGTCAATGGGCAGCAGCTGGTTGTGCGGTTCATAATGGCAGAAGGATGGGGGTGGGAAGATGATGGATTCGTTGTTGAATTCGAAGACTGGGCCTGCACCTTCTCAAAGTGTCCCATCTGCCCAGGGAGCCGCATCAGACGCGGCAGGTGGGACTTCACATAAGTCGTTTTATGCTTGTGTCACCTGGTGCGTGAGAAGTGTTGCACAGGTACACCAACTTGATCCATTTCGCCCCACGTTCAACCCATCTATCGCGCCATTTCGCAGGCATTTTTGTCGCACGCGGAGCCCGGCGGAGCCCCGAACTCACCCGGGGATTCGGTGGACCTCACGAGTGCTCTATTCATGTCTATTCCTTTCATTTTCGTTGGTCCACAAGGTGTGAGGGTTACATGTCGATACTTTCACCCTCTTTCAAGGAAGGGCTTAAAGTCAGACTGGTGGTGCCTTTTACACTCGTCTGGCGCCAGACACTCGTGTGTGCGGTGGTCATACCAAACACCCCCGGTTTTGAACCAACTCACTTCGTCTGAAACATAGCAGCTGAATGACAAGCCATGGAGATCCAAAGCGCGCTTGAAGTGTCAGAGCTTGCCGAGTTGCACAAGGAGACGAAGACATACGAAGACCAGGGACGCACTGGGTTTGGTAACTTGGTAACCGTTCTTTTCGTGCCCGCTGTGACTTTTCATGACCGCTGTGTACTTTCACGGCTTGATCCGTTTCACCCTTGCAATTCTGACACCAGCTACACCACCATGCCCATACCAAAACCTCACCTCATCGGCCCCACGAAGTCCCAACAATCGCCGGGGAACGGATGCACCATCGGCCGGTGACTCCTTTAGACCCTCCAGGGGGAGTCATTTGGGAGCAGACTGATGGATTTCACCGTGATCGTCAGCGTTGGTTCTTTTTCAACACTCCCCTGGCCCTGCAGTTCTTTTTTTGGCTCGGTGTCAGGAGTCCTGCGTTGTTCACCACGTGGAGCTCGAAGTGCTGGGCTTCGCTGGTCGCTTCCTGCTCCCGGTGCCGGAAGAGATGACAGGACGCGAGCTGCGACGACTCCTGGGCGAGCGATGTTTGCCGCAAGGGGGTGCCGCGATGTCGGTGCTCCTGAGAAGCGAGAAAGTGGAGTTAAACAAGACCTTGAAGGAGAGGAGTTGCTTTCATGAAACATGGAGGTAGAATCCCAAGGACCAGACATATGCCTTTCATCGATATTGAAGATGTATCAATCTGTAGGACTATAATACTTGATTCTTTTGTATTTCATAGTATTGTTTCTTTCAGGTAGTCTACAGGGCATTTCTGGTTGCTGGTTTCCAAGGCTTTCATGAATTGAATCATTTGTTGTTTCTCAAAGTTTCTGAATCAATGCTCCGTTTTTTGTCCATCGGAACCGACCCAAACACGGGCACAAGCCGTGGCACGCCAGGAGCAAGGCCTGCTTGCAGGCACCAGGGCTCAAGTGTGCTACGCTTACAGGCCGGTGCAGTTCTTGCAGGCTTGGCGCTTCCTACAGGGCTTTCAGGTGCCGTGGTGGCCACGGAGACCTTTGGGACATCGGGAGAACGGACGTGCTTTGGGAAGACAAGGGTCTTAATGAAAGGAATGGACCTGGAATGGATAGATATAGCATGTATACCCCCTAGGGGATCCAGTTGTACCTTCTCAGAACCTGATGTGTTCGACTGGATCTCTATAGGCATTGATAGCATATTTGCTATGGATTCGTGCTGTTAAGGCGTCGGAGGTACCGGTGATGCCAGAGGTCCCTCGCTGCCTTTTTTCGTCGTTGCGATCCCTCAGGTAGAGGATGAAGAGTTCGCATTGGAGGGTCTGCTACACCTGGAGGATGTTCATGGAATGCTCCAGGTGAAGAACCTCCCATGTAACTTGCAAAGCTTGATCTTCAGCCCCGATTTTGCAGAACCTTTGGAAGCTTGGCAGCTTCAAAGCTTGACCGACCCTTTCGTGTTTCTTTTTGCTTTGTTTGTTTTCCGGAACGGTTTCTCGCGGCCGAGCCGAGCATTGGCCAGGGCTTGTCGAGTGAGACCCCATGCGTGGTGGGATCCGGACCCCGATAATTCGCCCTGCCGTTGGCAAAGAGGGGGATGAACTGTGAAGCTGAGGAGGAAGTGAGCTTGCCAAAGAGTTTGGTAAGCCTGACGTTTGGGTCAACCTTCAATCAGAGCTTGGAAGGGGTTTCTCTACCAAAGAGCTTACGCAGCCTTTCCTTTGGCAATGCTTTCAATCAGAGTTTGGAGAGAGTGACCTTGCCGGAGGGTCTGGAAAGTTTAGCATTTGGCAATGAGTTCAAGAAAGGCCATTGGGACAGCTTCACCTTGCCAAAGGGCTTGAAAAGCCTGACTGCTGGTGCTAGATTCAACAGGCCTTTAGAGGAAATCTCTTGGCCCAGCAGCTTGGAGAATCTCACTCTTGGCACGACCTTTAACCAAGATGTGCGAGGAGCAATCTTTCCCAACAACCTCCGTGGTCTAACCTTTGGCATCAGGTTCAACCGTAGTTTAGCAGGAGTTGCTTGGCCTGAGACTTTGGAAAGCTTGACGCTTGGGAAGGGCTTTGATCAGAGTTTGGAGGAGGTCACCTTTCCCAGCAGACTCCAAAATCTAATTTTTTGGCACCTCCTTCAATCAAAGCTTGGAACGAGTGACCTTGCCGAGCAACCTGCGCAGTTTAGCTTTTGACTACGATTTCAATCAAAGCTTGGAAGGAGTCAATCTGCCCAGCAAGCTGCAAAGCATTGTTTTGGGACGGAGGTTTACGGATTCTTTTGGCAAAGTAATGCTGCCCAAAAGCCTCCTGAGTCTTACCTTGGCTGGCAACTTCAACGAGAAGCTGAGAGATCTCACCTTGCCAAGGACACTGCAGAGCTTGACATTTGAATGGGGCAGCAACTGGAGTCTGGAAGGGACTGCGTGGCCAAGCTGTTTGCAGAGCTTGACACTGGGCTCATCCTTCAACCAGAGTTTAGAGTCCATGAAGCTTCCAGAGAGCCTTCGAAGTTTGTCCCTGGGCCCAAGCTTCAACTCACCTTTGGAGTCATCTTCTCTTCCA